CGAGGTGGTGAGGGAGGTGGTCAAGGGAAAGAGGTTGTCGTTCAGAAGATCCGTTTGGAATGGGGAACGGAGCGCCATCGGAATATGGATTGGGGACCCACTGTCATCAACGAGCACACGCGCGTTTACTACGCGCTTGTTGATGGCCTCCTCGCGCTGAGGATGGTGGCCGGGTTAGGGTACGAGCGGGATGGCAGCCTTGCGGAGGTCGTGTTGTTCGTGAATAAGTTGTCGAATGTTGTGTCGGACTCGTGGCTTGGCCCGCGCCCTGATGTCGTCGGGGACATCGTCCACTATTTAGTCTCCGCCATCGCCGAGGAGCATGTGGAGACCAGTAGCAACAACGCGTGCTATGTGGCGCACATGGAGCCTCCACTTCGGGAGAGAGGCTACCTGCATGGGGCGGTCCAGATTTGGTGCCCGGAGGATGACCTTAGGGCTGCGCGTAACAGGTGGTAGCCCGCCTTCCAGAGAGAGAGAGAGAGAGAGAGAGAGAGAGAGAGAGAGAGAGAGAGAGAGATTGGCGGTGCAGGACTTGTTTGCACGAGGGCGACGACGACCTGATAACGCTTGCCCCGCCGCGATGGCCAGGTGATTACATGCGGGCCATTTATTTTTTTTGTCGTCATGAGGGTTGGACGTAGCATCGACGCTGCGTCGTTGAACTTTTACATTCCAGTTGGCAATTGTCCTATCATGCTATGTGTGTTTCGGAACGTTTTGTAAACACCCTATTGAAATGGGGTTTAGTCTCTCTCTCTCTCTCTCTCTCTCTCTCTCTCTCTCTCTCTCTCTCTCTCTCTCTCTCTCTCTCTCTCTCTCTCTCTCTCTCCGTGTGAGCACATGTTGTATTGGGTGTGGACTGTACTGGATATGGAGTGTGACGGTCGAGGTTGGTATGCGTTGCGATGTCTGTATTTTGACGTCCTTGTGTGCATCGTCGTTTGTTGTTGTTGGTTTTATCACATGTTTTCTACTGTATTTTTTCTGCTCCTATTTCTCTTCATCTTCTATTCGCGTTATTTCAAATCTTGTCGAATTGACAACATTACAAGTTCAGGAAAGGGGGTAGACAGTTGTCGGTGACGAACTACATCCGTTTTGCGTGTGGGTTTTGCATGTGCGACTTGTCATGTACGATCGGTTTCCGGTTTTCATTGATTTTGGCATTTCCTTTCCTGCAGTATGCCTGTTCACTTCGCCTTTCTTCTTTGCCTCTTCCAACCCTCACCGATTCGGAGGGGCTGGACAGGACACTTGTTGCTCGTGCAACGTGGCCATCAACCCACATCGGCAGAGGGTATTGCATATATATATATATATGTATATATATATATATGTATATATATATATATATATATATATATATATATATATATATATGCAATGCCACACAGACAGAGAGAGCTCCGGAGGACGACCACTCGGTCTTCCATAAGATTGTTCAATCAATTGTTCGGCGAACCGTCAAACGATAAACCAATCAATCAATCATCGAAACAATCAATCAATCAACCAATCGATCAATCAACCAATCAATCAGTTAATCAAACAATCAAACAATCAAATAATCAATCAATCAATCAATCAATCAATTAATGAAACAATCAAACAATCAAACAATCAATCAATCAATCAATCAATCAATCGATTGATCAATCAACCAACCAATTATTCAAGTAATCAAACAATCAAACGATCACTTAAGGATGTGATAATTGAACAAACAATGATAATGTCTATCGAACGATAAAACTATTCACCTTCGCGATGAACGCACAAATTGCGGACTCATAAAAAAAAAAGGTGGAAACCAGGCGGCGACATGTTGACTCAATGCGTTCACACACCGAAAGAGCGATCGATTGTCCAATCTGGACAGAGAGAGAAAGAGATGGATAGAATGACAGAAAGCTATAATGGGTAGACACACACACACACACACACACTCACACACAGAGAGAGAGAGAGAGAGAGAGAGAGAGAGAGAGAGAGAGAGAGAGAGAGAGAGAGAGAGAGAGAGAGAGAGAGAGAGACATGCTGACCGTCACAAAAAGATAGCAATATTGATGTTCGGTGACACACACACACACACACACACACACACACACACATTTCAGATTACGCTATCTCCACGGACATGGCGGCGGAGCACCATGAACATCCACATGATGGGCCACATGTCTAATCAAGGCTTCCCTGACCCTCCCTCCGAGGTCTGAGCCGTAACTAGGATCAATCTCCGACACGGTGGCTTCGATGTTCAGATCAGGAATGTGACGTGGCAATCGTCGGTGGCGGCGCCAGCGTCGACGGTGGTTGCGTGTCGGCCCGTCACCATCACTGTCGCTACTGTGGTTCAATAGGTCCGGGTCGATCTCCACCCTGTGCCTGATCATGAGGTTGTGTAGTATGCACACAACCATGAATTCCTTGCGCAACGTCTCCAAGTTCGCAATGTGAGTGCGGATGAAATTCCTCCATACGGTCTTCAAACGTCCGAATGTCCGCTCTATATAAGATCTGACCGCTAAGTGACATTCGTCATAAGTCCGATCTGCATCAGTTCTAGCGAATCTTCCCATAGGTGTTATGATCCATGGGAGGAGGGGGTAACTGGCATCTCCAAGCAGGTAACGACCCACATGCGTCCCATCGTGCATGATAGCTCCACCCTCGCATAACACACCTCTGCCTGCTATGGGGTTGTGGTGCAGTGGCGACATCCGCGGCACACGAGAGTCGTGGACTTACCCGGGGCAACCGACATACACACTGACAATTCTGCACTCGTTGTCACACACAACTTGGGCGACGATCGATAGGCTACCCGTCATAAGGCCGACTACCTTCTCTGACCTGGGTCCTCCTGACATGTAGTGTCCGAATCAATCACCCTCAAGCAAATATCATGCCAAGAGGAAAGCA